CTCTCTCTCTCTCTCTCTCTCTCTACTCTACTCTCTCTCTCTCTCTCTCTCTCTCTCTCTCTCTCTTCTCTCTCTCTCTCTCTCTCTCTCTCTCTCTCTCCTCTCTCTAAGTAGAGCCATATTAAATAAAAAATAATTAAAAATAAAAAAATATGCATTTTTTTTTACATTGAAATATATTAGTCTTTTTTGTATGCCTTTTTTCATATTTGATTGAACAAGTTTATAAATTGACAAAGTCAAAAATAGACAAACTTTAAAAACACATTTTCCTAAAAATGTAGAACATATAAATATTTAATATTTATTAATAAAACATAATTAAAACCAATTTTCTTAGCATGTTTTAATAATTTACATTATCGAATGATGGCATGCGAAAAACTGATTTATTTCAACTATAATATAAGGTATAATATAAGGAAAAGATTTATATGATTTTTGTTATTGACTCATAATATAATATGGCTGCAAAGAGGAGTTACAGAAGACTTAAGAATCTATTAAGAGAAGGAAGAAGAAAGAATAACGCGATATATACAATAAAATATATGAGAAACTAATATATGAGAAACTTAAATTCATTTCTTTAATTATAAATGTTGGAGTTAAAATTTTTATTTATTAAAAAAACTGATTTTGTGAGCTGCTTTAGATCATTCATGATTGCAATCCGCATTGATACACGCGGAGGCACACTAAAAAAGCCAGCAAGAGTTTCACATTATGCGTTGCAGTAGACATTGCTAATAAGAGTTACTACCGCGTTGAAAATGTATTAAAGGAGTCACTGCAGATGGATAAATAACAGCAACAAAGCTGGCACGACAAATGTATAGTGATGAGTGAGTACGTGTAGAGTATGAGTGTAATATAAATGATATTTCAGAGTATAAAGGGGGAACAAAGGTAACAGTGGGCAGAGCACATGAACTTGACAACACATTTCCCAAAAAGATAATTATACGATACCCTGTCTTTGTACGTGTCTTCACATTCTTTCTGAAAACAAATGGAATCATTGAGAGATTCAAAGGCTTACCGAACCCTATAAGAGACTACTTTAACACGCTGGGCTGTACAAAGCGAAGATTGAAACCAGTACACAGGACATTCAGTAAATTATGATACAATCAACATAAAAAAAAAATTTCTTATGAAAAAAAACAGTCAATATCATAAATGTCTATTAAAAAAATTATTTTAAATAAAAGTGTACATTTATTTAACTATATTTAACACAGTATTTGTAGAGGAGGATGAAAATCAAGAATAAAAATGTTTAATAATTAATAGCAATTAAAACAGTATATTAAATTATTGATATCAAAAGTATTATTATTAATGTTCATGATATATTCATGATTATTACATCTCAACATTTCAAAAAGTCGATACAATCAAATAAACATATCTTCTTTTCAAACTATTTTTTCTCGGAGACGATATAATCAAAATAAATTAGAATAAAAAATATTTGTATTTTTAATCATTTCTTTTTCATAGGAAATTGTCTCATATTGATTATACGACAACTTTTACTGAACATTCTGAAATTTCATCGAGTTAAGATTTGGATATCGTAGGCATGCAATAATAATCCTTACGTTTATCCGTGAGTTAACGAAACGCGATAATCAGCATAAAGTCTTTTCTCGCATACCTGTAACATCGAAAATCAAACTCAACGAAATTATATCGGTTTCAATTCTCATTAAAAAAATAAGAAATTATAGAAGTTATCCCCCAGCATAAGCAATCCCTTTCATTCCTTAAATTGAAGAAGATAGACCATAAGGTTTAATAATTTAAATTGTATCCTTTGGTTTAGGAAATAAAAGGGAAGAGTTACATATGCCGAAATAATAAAATATTGCATACCATAAAAAAACTTCAAATAAATACTTCAAATTGTACCTGTAAAAATTTCGTCAATTAAAATTATGACCACGCATGCAGAATGTATAGATATATTCATAACAGAGTTCTGCTTTTGAATTATTCTGCAGAATCATTCTGCAGAAAATAGTTTTAATATGTTCAATTGGAATGTATTATTTAACGTTGATATATTCTATTAAAACTAAAATGATTATATTGAATAAATGTTTGTAATTCTATTTTAAATTAAGCAAACATAGTTGTCATTTTTATGAATTGATTAAAATAAAAATTTTTCAATTTCTAGTATTATAAATAATTTAATAATTATTTTTAAATAAAATTCAGAAAAAATTTAAAGAAAACTTTTTTGAAGAACATTAATGCTTTTTTAAAAAACTTTAATATTTACAGAAAATTTATATTAAAAAACACAAAAAATAGAAATTTTATCAACAATAAAACTTCTATATATCTTCTTAATATAATCAATATAATTTAAACCAAATTTAGAAATTTTATACAAGACATATACATTATGTTTATAAAAATATGCTTAAAAATTAATTTGAAAAAAAATTGATTTTTAACAATACATGTTCTCAACAATTTTCTTAACAATTCAATGTATTTATATCTATTCATTACTATTCATTATTTGTTATTATGCTTATCAAATTTTATAACCTTATTTTTATTTTATAAATATTTGCACGCTGTAATTGCTAAAGTGAGATATCGTAGATTTTTATTATAGAGTTTATATATTTTGATAAATAATGTGTCAATAATCGGCAAACTTTTATTAATTTAAAATTTAATTAATTTAAAATGCAAATTTAAATTAAAAGAAAAAAGGATAGATAAATAACATACTTCTCGTATCGTCAATGTGTGTGACATCATCTGAATATTAACTTGAGACTGGCTGGTTGGTAGATTGTCTGTTGAGCGTGATCTGGCCAAGGATCGGGATCCCGTCAGGACACTCTTGCTCTTAAGAGCCATTTCTGTGCGCAGAAATACTCGTGATATGTATGCTGAGCTGAGTCCGCGTATTCCAAATGCAGTGCGCAGAAATTTAGCCGGTGTCACCTGAAAGTTTGACAAATTGATTATCATTTTTAGCAACATTCCTCAGAATTAAAATCTCAGACTAAAATAAAATATTGAGCAAACAATGTACAATATAGTTTAGTTTAAATTTTGCGATTTTTGAAACATTGGCATTAATAATACATTAATAATAATAATCCATCATATGATAAAAATCTATAAATCTCGAAATAATTATGATACAAATCACTAATAGCTTCAATTTTTTTGTTTCAATGTTTTTGTAAAATATAAAATTTATATTTTATGTCAAATAATAGATTATATCATTTAAATAAAATTTTTTTAACTTTCATAATTATTGTAAATATGATTGATTTTAGATCATATTACTTACTGGCATTTGTCTACAAAATTTCGATAGGGCAGCATCTATCCCATTCTTCGAAATTTCACTCATCCATTCGGAATTCTGCGGCGACGAGTGCTTATAAAATAATAAAATTATAGCCATAGCAACCCGATAAAAGACCTGAAAAAAAAAATTATTTAATGATAATTTACTTGTAATAATTGTTAAGATAATATTCTGTAAATCATACATGTTTAAAAAGAACAATTTTATGCACATTTCATAGTCAACATTCAAAAATGCTCGCCAAACATCTTTTTGCTGGCACTAAGTCAATCGTCAAATTTAACATTTGTCCTATTCCTAGAATATAAGTGCATTTGCACAGTATACATAAGACATGGGTGATCTTTATTTGTCGGTTGGGTAAACGCCAATTTTTCTCTCACTCTCTTATATGTAGTAGATGGACGATCTCACGTCCATCTCTCAACTGATTCCTTGAATGTAGCAAGAACGAAAGTTAGGAATTTTCTGATTGGTGAACAGTTCAAACAGCTCAAACAGTTTGAACTCGAAATCTACGTGATTGAATGATTCTAACAATTCAAACTTCCTTCTCAAAGTTTAAATTGTTCAAATCTTCTAAATATTTAGAAGATCTGTAAATTAGGTATTTATATCCAAGCAGTTTGAATTCGCACAATTGTTTAACATAAAATAAAGAGTAAGTACACACACACATATATATATATATATACACACACACACACACACACACACACTTATTTCTTTTTTTATAACTTAATAAAGAAATATGACATGCCAATTTTATTTCTTTATGGGTATAATTGTTTTTATTTGTAATAAATTTTTTTATTTTTACTCAACTTTTTGACATTTTCAAACTAAACTATTAACTATTCAAAATCTATTTTTGAACATTATAAATTGCTCAATTGTGTTTTAATTGTATAAACAACATACATTTGAGATTCAAACTTTTCATTGTAAATAGATTCAATATATATTTGTTAGTTAGTTAAAACTTTAAATTACAAAACTTATGCATGTAAACTCACCTTAATACCTTCATGAAGGAAACAATCCATAACCCTGACTAGATGTTGAAATGGAAGAAGTTGAAGAATCCACCAAATCCAATCCATGTAGATTCTTTCTGCCCTTGAACCAGAGCAATGCCTCGCTAAATGTACAGCAGCTGATTTCTGGAAATTGTGAAATTGAAAACTATATATCATTGTGTGTTGCTGACCATATACATTTATTACTAAATAGAATATTTTAAAAATAAATAATTTTTTAATAAAATAATAAAATAATTTTTAAATTTATATATTTTATTAATACTATAACAAATATATATATATCGATTACGTACACACAGGAGTAATATCAATTGAAAGAGAGATAGATACATAGATAAAGAAGTTTATTCTGCCACGAGATAAGACTGAGAGATTGAGGGGCAGTGAAAAATACAAGATTTCTCGCGTAAAGTTACAAGCTGTTTTATTCGAAATTATTAAAGAGCAATGAAAATTTCTTTTCTAAAGGTTTTAAAATTCACTTTCAAAACATATTCATTTTTATATGACAAATAAAACATCTCTAAATAATGAATAATATTCATTCATATAATATTTATTATTTTATTTTATATCTATGTTTTATATTTAAAGTTTGAATCATTTAAAAGAAAAAAGAAATAGAAATACATTATGTAATTCAGAAATATAATTATCAAAAATCTAAATTTTTTTTAAAACTTATTGGTACTTACAACATGTTTTTTAGTGATTTGTTCTACTGTTTTCCACGTAACCTCATAAAGAAGTTTGGTTTGCGTGATGAACATTTTTTCTTTGGCAGCAACCAAAGTAGCCATACAGTGATAACATTCCTCCTCTGAAAAATAACATTCCCAAAATAACATAAGTAGCGATTCATTGGAAGTAAACAAGATCCGTACAATGAATTTGCTCAGTTTAGATTTTAACAAGTTAAATTAAAAAATATATAAAATTATAACTCCAATAATTTTCAAGTAAAAATAATACTATTGTATAAACAGTATTTCTCAATTATTCAAAAATCATATTAATAACTAATAATATCTATCTACTATTATAAAATTGAAAATGTTATTAAATAATACTTTTTCATCTAAGATTTATTTCTCAAAAAAAATTGAAAATTGAAAAATTAAATTAAAAATAACCATTAACTTAGTGAATGATAATAATTTTTACTGTTAATTATAAGATATAAATGATTATATGAATTTAATTTATACATATATGTAAAATGCTTCAAATTCATGTAAATTATTCAATATATTTTTTTTAAATATAAATTTCACCAATTTATATGTGAAGATGTTTTGATTATAAAATGTATTTTATTAAGTAAAACAAAAAATAATTCTTCTGATATTTATATGTCGAATTGCTATTACATAAGTAATTATTGGTTTAAAGTATATTAATTTACCTGGCACAAAATGCAAGAGAAGTGCAGTTAAGGGATAAAGAGAGGGACTATATGTTATATCAGGACAAGCATATCCCAATACAGATACGACTCTATCCGCCACGTTTCTGCCCTTCCTCGTCAAATTGTAAGACAAGCAATGTGTACTATCGACAAACGGTGGTAGCATGATTGATTTTTCTGGTAATTCTGTAAATAAGATATTTCAAATCTTATATAAATACAAGAAAGATAATTTTCTTTCTTATTGCGTTGTATGAGAAAAGAAAAAACTATCTCTTGAAACTTTATTTTTCTTGAATCACGCTTTGTTTGCGCCTTTTGCGTTTTTCAACAATTACTATTTGGATTCAGTTATATTCTCATAAAACTAGGATTGCTATAAATATAAAATGAAAGTTTATTTTCGCTACTTCATATTCTGTCTGTTCCTGTTTAGAATCACAAATGCTTTGACAATAGAATAGTGTAAATCAAAGTCAAAGATTCATAGTGTACTACTAATTGTAACTACTAACCAGTCGTTCCAAACACCTGGTTAACCATATCCCAGTAGAATCCGTCGAGCATACTCTTGCCGTGTGCATGCTGGTTACATAGCGCCGGCCAAAGCTGCGCCCTGATGCCGTTGTTAAGTGGCCAGGCATTCTCCCGTATGATTAACTTTGCCTCCCGCTTTCTGCCGGCCTGCAGCAACGTGTTCACCTCAGCGAAGGTCTTCAGCGTCTGCTTCTTGCTGGTTGGCGATTCCGGCTGGATGACAATGTTGCTGGTGTCGACATGCGGCGGGAACGCGTCATCGATGTCGGTGACATTCGTCGCCTCCTCCTCGACTACCGACAGCGTGTTCGGCGAATTGTCCATCGGGGAGGCAGTCACTAACATCGCTTAACAACTACGGCACGAGATTCTTCATGGCGATTGCTCTGGTGATTTTTCACGCACCTGCCTGTCTACGTCATATCTTGAGACGTTTCAATTTTCATCTGAAAGAAAAAGATCTATATGAAACGGGTGACGGGATAAGTTTAAAAATTCTTGAAGTATTACTTGCAAATTTATCTTACAATTAGTAAGATGAAAGAAATATATGACAATATCTCATGGATACATAATTATCTCATGATTAGAGAAATAATATAAAATAATTTATTTATTCGTATAATAATATATAATAAAATTTTACTAAATACTATTTATTTTATGCTATAAATATTCTTTATTTTATATTTTCTTTTTTTTCCATCATTTTTAGTTCCTGCACATTAAAAAAATTTTTTTTTATGTTGTAAATAAAGTATAGGATTGTGTATAGAATAAAATAGAATAATCAACTTAAAGTTTGACTAATGTTAGAAAAATTTAGTTAATGTCATAAAATGGTTTTTGCATCTCTGAGAGCAGTAAAGTTATATTTTCAAACATTTCATTATTAAATTGCCTTATCTTATCTCCTCCAATAATGATCAATTAGATTTTTCTTTATTTTTCTCTCAATAAATAGTATTAATCATAGTTCTAACTTTGCCTCGAAATTTTTATATTTGTAAACTGCGATATACCCTTAGAGCAATTAACTTCGATTAACTTGTCGAATAATGCCTGTATTATTTTGTTAATATAATAGATAGAATTATTTATTGTTTATAGTTTAGTACATAGAAAAAAAGATTAGATTAGATTAACGAGAACAAAATACAATATACAAGATTTTGCCAAATTATCTAAAAAATTATCTAAAAATTTAGCTAAATACAAATGTGAAAATAATCTTATTGGACCACAAAATAATTATGCAAGATGTTTAAATATTATGATTATACTGTAAATCTTTTCTACATTCTAGTAACCAATTTCTTACATAAATATTTCTGAAGGAAAAATTATTTTTAAATCTGTGTGCGGCCAAATGTTTATATGTTGCCTCAGTTGCCACCGTTCTTTCGGTGTAAAAATTTTGCCTCAAGCAATTCTGCCGGTCGAATTGATCGCCAAGCAAGCTTAACCGGGGTTTGGTCGAAGCCACCCTCAGGCTCAGAAGACGCGAATAATTTATTTTAGAACAGGTTCGACAGGCGGTATTACGTTCAACCCTTTTTTCGCGCATTCCACGACACAGTTAAATACAAGCCGCAATAGCACAGGCGATTGCAGCATCACGCGAATCTCGTAAATTCGCGCGAGCTCCAAGATAATGTTTTAGCGCTTACTGTGCACATCTGTCGCTATCGCATTGCAACAACATCCTTCCCTCCTGGCGTCGTCTTCGTTCGCTCGCTTGTCCGCCCGCGTAACCCATCACACGACCGAAATCAATTGTCTCGTTGTAAGGATGCCAGCATAAACAAGCGCGGCGAATACGCATATATGGCACACCACCACGTGCTCGCCTTTTTTCTTTTCACTTTACCGCACGAATAATTCGAACCCTTACGTCACAAGTATATACATGTCATATCTCGACATACATATTTGCGTATCATGTTAGAGAGTATTTGCATATTTTATATTTTAATTTTACATAATACGATTAATAAAATATGTATATTATAAAAATATATAAATTGCATATATACTATATATTATATATGCAATATTTTATTATATACAATAAATATATAAACTATTATGTAAATATATATACTAGATACGTAAGTACTATATTCATTATGTTATTATCGTAAAATAATATTAATTATTAATAAATTATTGTGGAGTAATCAACAATTATAATGCATAAATATTTTAATACAAAATGCGAATTTTATGAGCAGAAATTCATATTCAATAATAATGAAAGTAAAAAAATTTTTTTAAATGGAATTTTCTTCTTATTTTGCATTTATATATATATATATATATTACAATCTACATATATTACAATATCTATTTTGTAACATAATAAAAAATATTTTTAACGCATATAAACGCAGAATTTGAAGTATGTCAAACGAGGAGTACATTTTCTAAGTCATTTTCATGATCATTTATTCATATATCACATAATATATATAATTATGGCTCTTTTAGAAAAACATTCACTATATTTTAATCTCATCTAAATATATCCTATATAGTTTAATTGTATTAATAAAAAATTATATTATTCTTCAATTAATAATACTTTTAATTTGAATCATAATCATATCATATCATATATTTAAAGACATTTAAGACATTTTTAAGACAACTTTTTAAAAAATTAAAAATATGCAAAAATAATAATGATTTTAAAAATATAATTATACAAAAATTATTCCATGAAAGTCCATTATAATAATACTTTACATATCTATAGATATCTATCTTTTTGTAGTTGAATATAAATTTATAATATGTGTACAACAATTTAATCAATCTTGAATTGATTCAAACTCATTGTAATCGAGATGCAATTATAAACGTTTATATTTTAATTTATTTATTTAACATATATACTTAGCGTGACATTCAATTTTTAGTCACGTTTAACCTCCTTCGTACATGTCAAACATACAACATGTCAAATCGTTGGAGAGTAATTCTGAGTCATGATGCAAGAATATTTATAGCGATTTTAGTGCTACTTGCACTACTCCACGTTAAACATTAAATATTATGCATAAAGTTATGTAAAAATAGAACATAAACATCCTACTTGATGAACGTTAAAAAGAGCAGCTTCAATCAAATTTAATTGGTAATTAATTTAATCAGCAAAATTGTTTAAAATAAAATTTGTAACTACGTAACCTGTTGAATCTAATAATCTCATCTTATGTACAACAGAATGTTACAGTAAAAAATTAATAATTATCTATATTAACAAAATAATACATATTATTTGACAAGTTGACTATCGATTTAAATTGTCGGCTATTTCATTAATATAAACAGTAATTATTAATTTTTCATCATTTAAAGTGGGAAAAAAGATTAGATCAGGGACAATGAATTATTTATAATTAGAAGTTATTTTATTTGAACAGTCTCTCGTAAAAATAAAATAAAATAAAATAAAATAAAATAAAATAAAAAAATCATTTGCCAAAAAAACGCGATCGCTGCTTATCGTTTTGCTCGTAAAGAAGCTTCAGACATTGACCTGTCATCAGACACACGCAAACGGCCTAAGCGGAGACAATGAATATATAATATGACATATAATTAACGCGAGGGAGCTGTCGCTAATAATAAAACAGCTCGGCCAGATGCGAAAGCAGAAGCTGCTATAATCTCGCGCGCGCAGTGTACTTAACGGTTATTAATAAAAAAGCGTGCGTTATCTCTCGGCCAGGAACATGCGTTTTAATGCTTATCAACGCACCATGTGTTACTCGCGAGACACACGCACACAGCGGTACCAAAGAGATTTTGCTGCAAAACTTTGCAATTGAAATCTTGCTCTAGTTTTTTTCTTTTTCTTTTCTTTTTTTTTTTTTTTCTTTTTTTTTTTTAATTATTTATTTCAAACAATGTGCAAATGTCATGCAAGAGCAAACTTTACTAATACAGTTTTGGAATGTTTCAGGTAAATTTTTGCTTACAAAAGTGCTCATATGATACACGCGTGATACTAAAACCACGCGATCGAAGTAATTTTTAGAACTTCACATGGGTTCAAACTGATTTTTCTCTTATTGCAGCAACTTTATATAAAAAAGATGTTTCCTCTTATGTTTCTTAATCTGTCTTCTGTCCTATCTAAAAGTCACACACGTCGAGTCGAGTGATAATAAAGATGTTGAAGATCGCAAAGTAATCTCGTGAAAATTAACGCTGTTAAGGAACCTGTGGGTGAAGGAGATTTTAGGACATCCCGTATATATAGAATGTGCAGACTTGCAGTTGCTGCTGTAGATAAATATTATTGCAAGTCCCGAGCGCTCCGAACCACTTGATAGTATAAATACATTGCATCAAAGGCGGAGGCAAAGGCAAACGCGCGCGCATTGCATTGTCGAATACGCAAAGTGAAACAGGGAGCCTATTTGCCGCGAATTTTCTCCAGAATGCTTACATCCTCGTTCAAACTTTTCGAAAGAGAAACATGAAGAAAAGGTTCACACTTCTCGGAAAAGAGATAAAACTGATGATTTATATTGTCACTTTGTATCTCCCGAAAACTGATTGTGTGCTCGTACAATAAAAAAAAATGCCAAGCGATGGAAGAAAGGCGCAAGATAAAAAGTGATTAAAAGTAAAGTGGATGATACATAAACTTTAAAGAAAGAATGGACAAATGTCAGAAGATTTTTTTTTCTCAATATTATCTTTGAAATAATTTTGTATTTTCTAAAAAAAAACGATTTAAAACAAGTTTTATTTCATAAAACTTTTCTTAATAACATATAGTATCTGAATACAAAAAATAGTAGAAAATATGATAAACATATAATTAATTATTTACAAAAATTATTAAATATTTTATGATTTGAAATAAATGATATTTTGAAATCTTAAATCAGAAACACTTCGAATTAAATCAGAATCGCTTTAATTATAAATTTATAAAGAAATACACACTGCCTTCTGCTTTCTATACGAAACAGACTCAAAAAGCTAAGCCTAATATAACGTAATTCAACTTGACCTAGTTACCTCTTTTTTCTATACGTATTAAGCTTAATTTTACGCGAGAAATACAGTAAGTTTTGGATCAAGTAAAGGCTGCATAATTTCAAATTATCAAAAAATGACACGAACACACGTATGTATGTGAGCGTTTTAAAAATCAGTAGCAATCCAGGCTTAATTTAAAATGCAGCTGACTCAGAATTCCATTCTGTACGATGCACCAAGATCAAGGTCGTCGGCGAGGTTTAATGTTTCTCTATAAATAACGTTTCTCTATAAAAATGCCACAGATAAAAAGGCGTGCTTCTAGCGCGGTGTCTCCGACTGTACATCGTCGAGGAGCAGGTCGGATGAAGTGAGCAATAAACAACGAGCAGTAGCGTGCAACGCAGCGGCGATCGTGCACGATTACGCAATGTCGTGTAATTTC